TTTGGCTCATAAGAACTTGACCTACGGCTGAACGCCTTTTTTGCCATAACGTTGTGCAACTTTTGCTCTGGCTAATAGCTCTGTTGACTACTCTCCGGAGAGCACCCTGTAGTTGTTTGGTTTCAAGCTCACTCTTTGTGAAAGACATAAAAAATACCCCCAAGTTGCAGACCTGCTACAGGTATGAGCTCTGTAGCTCCGTGGTATGCAGTGCCTGGTTGGAGAGGCTTCTTTGCTAACCTATGGTGCAATGCATTTGACAGCAGGCAAAATAGAATGAGAATGGAATGACAGAACCTTGTGATCTGTGCTTGGCCTTGCACTCCTTGGAAGAAACCGTATCAGCAACCTGTCTCTTGTTCACTGCAAACATTCAATAAAAAATTCAAAAGTGTTGGAAAGGATAGAGGACACCTGGCCAGTTCATCCATCTCCAAAGGAAAACTAACATTGAAGCTTTAAGCTAGGGTGAAGGCTGTATGGTGGATATCACATATATAACTGCAACATCTATTTCTAATTAACTTTTGATTCTTACTAAGGATAATGACCCTGTATCCTTAGCCTTCCTTTTGAAGTTTTAGGCTCCAGTTCTCTTTCATGCCTGGTTCTTTTCCTTTCCCTGACTGCCTGGTTCTGGAGACCATCTGTACACATTGCTTCAGCATCTTTAAACCACCAGCAAGCACATACCAGCTTGATAGCAATATCTGGACATCAAATTGTGAAGAAGAGAGCGTTGATACGGAAAGGTTTTCTGCAGATGAGGGATTACTGAAACAACTACTGAGTGCTACTTAAGAACAGTGTCTCTCAGATACTATGTCATGGTCATGTATTTCAGGATTTGCTTTTTCTTCACAACTCTTTAGAATATATGCTGGGAAGCCAGAAACTCTCAGACTTATCTGAACCAAATACATTTTAGATGCTTTTATACATAGAGTTGTGGTTTTTTCCCAAGCGCATCTTGGAAAAGTTCAGGTACCTGGGCAGCCATATGAGCCACTGTAGTACCTGTGAGCTGAAGAACATTTGCTTAGTCTCATATAGCTATGGCTTTCTGTACCAGTTTTCTGCATCCAGGCATACATTCAGCTGCCATAGGTGTGGAAGTGAAGTTGGAATACCTCCAGGTCAGCTGTCTTCTGCCTAAACACTTGGAAAAACAAGCACAACCTTGTCTGACTGATTTTCATAAGTGGATACATGTAACACAAGATGAAGTTTTAATCTGGCAGTATTGGTACTGCTGCTGATAGCAACAGCATGGGGTCCTATCCTTCTGACCCTGTTTATATAGTCTCTCCTGTGCCCATCACAAGCTAGCTTTTTCCCTTTCACCTGGAGTCCCAAAAGCTGCTGGAAGATGCCATCACTCAAAATGGTGGTAGCCAAGAAAAGGTACTGGTCATTGTGGGAAGACTGGAGGGATAATCCCTAACAATGTCCTATTTCAACAATGAGACATACCATACATATATGGCATTTTTTTTTACGTCTGCGTGTTTTGTAGTGGTCTTAACTGCTGTTTTAGAAAGTGACTCGGGTGGGGAGTTGTCGACGCCTTGGTATTTGCATTGGTGCTATTCATTTTTTGTTCTGTGCAGTAATACAATGTTTTCAGTTGTTTCTTTACCTGAATCATCAAGATAAAGCATTTTCATGAGCCTATCAGGTTTACAGCCTCCTGGGGCCCATGGGCTTAGACTCTATAGGACTCACAGCTGTGGCTGATATGAGAAGGATTTGCAGAGCGAGTGTAAGGCAACACTGCAACAGTCACAAGTGGCCCCTCTTTTAACTCCACCACATCACACTTCGATTACTCAAAGCATTTCTCTACCTCGCTGTGTGCAATAGCTTTTGCTGTGGTACAATAGGAACAGCATAGCCTCAAAAAGCAGTGTGGATCTAAGGGGCCAGCCGGTTCTGTGCTCCCTCACTTAGCTTTATCAGTGGAAATTCCTTCCTCACTGATCGAATGACCGAGGCAAAATTATCTCTTTTTAAAACAGTTCACATTTCTTTGGATTTAGTTTCAAATTGGCATTCTCAAGCTTATCACAGACCATTTGTAAATGCACTAGTTCCTGACCGAAAGATTTAGCATGTACCAGACTTGTTATCCGTCTAGGACAAACAGTCTGAAAGAGGAGCATGTCATACAGTACATTATCCATGAGCCATTTCAAGGTAGCAAGAGCACTGCGTAATCTAGAGAACATTATTTAAAATTGACAGAACCTTTACACTACCATAAAAGCAGCCTTCTTCTGGGGCTTTTCGATTTACTTCCATGTTCACCTACCCACTTAAGATCACTGTAGAAATCCAGCTAACCTTTCTGTAACATCAAAAGTACCCAAACATGAGCCAAATGTGTCTGTGATCCAGAGTGGCTCAGGCACAAAAAATTGTACGTGGACCCTTTAGAGCAAGAATGAAATGACAGGTGACAATTGCTTGATTCACTACTTTAAATCCCCTTCGCTCTTCCACTCACTCAGGGTGACAAGCCCAGTAGTTGTTCAGGCTTGTCCTTGGCTTCTTGTTCTCTCTTTGCCCCACTGGTATGTTTCACTTGTCTTTCTCTGATTTACCTTTTTTTATTTTTTCTAGTACAGCGATATACAACACCATCAATATGTGCCATGTCTTGAACAGGATATGCCTGTGATTTGGATGAAGGTTGCTTTTGCTATATCTTACCAGCACTACAGAAAATCTTCATTACCTGGGTTTTCCTTGAAGAAAGCCTACTACTGTGGCTAACAACATTGGCAAGTCTGATCCCACTCGGTGGTAGTAAGCGGCTACATGTGGCAAAGGATAGAAATCTCTGAAAGTAACTACTTAATCTTGTATCATTCCCATAGTACCCATACTTCGTGCTTTTCTTCCTACAGCAAATTGTGGCATAAATGAATGGTTAGAGGATCATTTTTTTTCTGCCGAGTTTCATTAAATCCTCTCTGAAAGGGAAAACACCTGAGCTATGTGCTTGAACACCTTTGTATCAATGTTGCATTGTTACACGGCCAAATGTAATTAAAAACTTTCAATTAAAACATACAGCACTGGCAGTGCACAGAAAATTTTTCTTAGCTGATCGTACTTTTGTACAGTCACGGTGATACAACACGTTGATAGCATTACAGTGCAGTGCTACCAAACCAGCTCATGACCTTGAAACCAGGAGACCTGTTGTTCAGCTTCTGGTCCTTCAGTTCAGTCATCAAAACTGTGAAATCACGAAGGCGAGTTGACATGTGTCATACTGAGCAGGCAGCTGCCCGAGGACAGTCTGCTCCCCGTGTGCTGAGCTGCTGGTAGCTTAGGTGTGGGCAGCTGCTTTACTTTCACTGTCCTCTGCCTGTGAATCTGAGCAAGAAAACCTGGAAGACATTGCCTGGCCCTTTGCTGCTTCTTTACCTTAAAGAGCAGCTGGTATGTGTAGCAAGTTGTTAGTCAAAATTCCATCATGTTCTGTTAGTAGGAGGTAAATGACTGACATTTTCTTTTGACAGGACAACTGACTTGGCCACCGGATTTGTCTGGCCTTGTCACAGCTATTTGGGTTTCTAGGGAGAGGCTCAAAACAATACCAGCCCTGAATCTCCTGGGGGAGTGGGGTAAAATGTTTCCATCTGGGACCATGTGAGCTCCTCTGGAGCCCTCTGTGCCCTACCAAGGCCCAGAGGCTGGTAGGGCGTGTACCCCAGGTTTTTTGTACATTAGAGCCATTTCCTCAACATCTCTAGCTTTCCCTTTGAACAGCATTGCAGGATGAAGGGAAAAGCAGTGCTTTTCCATGCTTCTGTCCTCGCATCTCGCTGTGGAGTTTCGCAGCAGCTGTGCCTAATCTCTCCCAGGGCTATGTATTGTGGTGTGCTCTGTGGTCCTGCTCCCAGGGCATATGGAGAGAGACTGGCTCTAGCTGGTTCCCTTCTGCTGCTCCTTTTCACGCAGGAGACCAGGGAGAAGGCAAGGAGGATGGAGCTGATGCTCGTCTGCTGCACATGGAAACCTGGGAGCTCCAAGGCATCCCAGCTCCCAGTTTGGGGAGTCAGGCAGAGCAGCCCCACTGCCTTCTCCAGCATCATAGTGACAGAAGCACTTGGGACCGAGCATTGTTTCTTTGCTGCCTGTACTTCTGCAGTAGATTGAATTGCAACAGTGGGGCTCATCTGGCCCCTCTGCCTGAATTTGCCTTTTCTTTTAAATATTTCCTCAGAGGACATAATAGATTTTTCCCCTTGAAAAGTCACTGAGGCTATATGTATGGCATAGCTGGGCTATGTAACAGCTGCCTTTCTATATACTAGTCAGTTTTACCACTTTATTAGAAAGACCACTTTATTAGAGATTTCCAGTTAGATTTTAAAGTTTAATTTTTCCCTAAGAAAAGAGACAGTAAGAACCCTGCGTCATGTTTGCAGTAATGGCTGCCACAAGTTCTTCTATTGAGAAGATGTAGAAATAAGACAAAAATAACCAAGACAGCCCCTACCCCAAGCTACAGAATCCCAACTAATAACATTACTGAAGAAGCTGATAATATTGATCTCTTGTGTACTGGTAGTTAAACTTCAAAAATCAATGGAAAGGGAAGCTTAACTGGCCTTTCTGTAGTATCAGCAAATGTAGAAATTTTACAGATATAAATATAAGGGGTGATTTCCAGACAATGTTAAAATTACTGCTTAATTCCTTTTCCTTCAGGAGAAAGCTCCTATGAGGTGCATTGGGAAAGGAATCCCTGAGTGTAGTAGATATACTTCTGTGTGAACCAAGAAGTAGCTTTTCAGAATGGTATGCAGAAGGAGTGAGACCAGCTTGATCAGCGAGGACCCCGTTTCTGCCCTCAATTCTGCCTTGAGCAACTTTAAACACTTGTTGTGTTTGTTCAGGCACATTCATCTCTCAAAATATAAAGTTATTCCCACACACAAGTGCTGGCAGGATCTGGGATCAGCAACTACACAAACACTGCTCTGGCAGTCGTCTCCTGAGTGTAGAAAAAATACCAGCCTTTGGTCCTCTAAGGTACCTAGGTGAGAAATCCACATTGCTAAATATCTCAGAGGATCTGAAGGCACAGAATGAGTGCCTTGTATTTTTAACAAAGTAAGACTTTAGGGGCCCAGCCGCGCTTCTAGCCACGTGTGTATTTCCTCCTTGTTTACTTCAAGCCATTCAATGTTGTTCTTCACCTGCTCAATTGACTGACTCCTGGGCGATTCGCCTGCCCCAGCATCAGGATATTTCTCAAAGAAATTTTCCATCTGGAAAAAAGAGAGAAAAAGAATGGACATGAAGAAAACAACACTACTGTTGGGCAACTGGCTTTTTACAGGGCCCAGGTAAAGGTCAGTTTTGGCTGGGAGAGATATTTAAGCTCAGGCTCGTAGCACTGGGATAGTTTTACAGTAATTTATAATGCTTTATACATTTAGAGGATAAAAAGTCAAGTTTCCTGGCCAGTAGATGGTTAAACACATTGACTTAAAACCAAGAGAAGTACTGTCACCATACCTGCCAAAGCTGGAGCTCAGTGTTGAAGGTTTGGGTAATAGTTACTATCCGACCAAGATTTCTGTCATTAATAGTGAATCTAGAAAAACAATTTAATAAATGATATTTGATGCAAAACCGTTAAAAAAGAAACGTCACAATTAATTATCTGAAGCTTAAATTTCTAGCTGTTCTACAATAAAACAGATGCATCCAGATGTTATAATTTTTGGAAATATTTGAAAAAAAGTACTGCTATACAATATCTGTGCTGTTCTCAAATATGTTTACTACTGGAGTGATCTATTCTGGCAGATTTTTTTTTTAATTAATGACTTATACTGGAAATCAGGTGTATCACTGCTCAGCAATACAAATGCTGTCCAGTTCACAGCTCTGGGCTTGCAGGTATGCTTTGCTTCTGTGCCCTCATCAAGCATTTAGCAAGGAGAAGAGAGGAGAGAGATGTCACTCAAATAGGGAGGAGCAAAGCTAAAAGGTTTGTTATTACTTCCACTGCTCATCTGTATGTCTGCTGCTTGCTGTTACCACTAGAAGGAATTAAAAAAAATTCTATACACTGTCTTCTTGTTATGAAGTCAATGGAAAGAGAAGAGACATGACTGACTAATTTCCATGCAATAATCAGATTTCTACAGCCTTGGTGGAAATTTAAAAAAAGGGAAAGAATGATTTTCAAGTTAGCAGCAAAGTACTTTTTCACAGCAGATGGATATAATTGTGTCAAATACACTTTTAGTTTTCATTGTGCAAAGGCCAGTGATTATAGCTGTATAGTGAAACTATAGAAAGGCTTGGCATATAGCAAGATATACAGATGGACATAGACCTGACATTTCCAGTTAGTTCATTAGCGTACCTGTCAACTAAGTACTGCCAGTTAAGTCGTATCCAGTCCCAGGTCATTGTTTTCCCATAGGTGTTATACGAGATGTATCTCAGGACTGTGAAGACATCTTGGCTTTTGATGAGGCTGGTGTTGTAAATATATTTCAGATACCTAAACATAAAGCCATAAGAATCAATGAGAGCCTTTAATGCAAGACCATGAGAAGCAAACAATAAGTTAACACTTTCAGTGTAGACTTAACTGACGATGATGATAGATAACGCGGTGCTAGTATCTATATTTGCAAGTGATTACCACCAGAGTCTACAGCCCATTTCCAAGCAGAATTATTATTATTAATTATTATTAAATTCATTTGGGCATAACATGCCTGCAAGTGCTGCAAGTTGCTTCCAGCTACAGGACAAATGGTTTTGACTGACAGAATGGAGGGATCGCTCAGCACGTACATTTACAGGGAGACGACTAGTGTGGTCATGGCTTCACAGCAGCCGCTGCAGAACACCCTTAAACTGTTGTACACTGGGATTAAGGATTGTCGTCTTTTCCTGTATGTAAAGGACAGTTTTCTCAATCTGTTTGCTCTTTTCCCCTCCCTTGCTATTTAAATAGTAAATTAAGAGACAAGTTTTCCCTGCTTCAGGGAAGTTTTTTAATTTTCTGCAAATATAGGCTGATCTAGCTGATTAATTTATGTCTTAATCATGTCAGTGATTAGTTATTGCATGGTTTTAGATTATGGCTGGGGGGGGCACAAGAATTTAGAAATACAGCTGCCTCCTACCACTATTTTCATTACTCTAACTCATATTTACTCTTCCTGAATCTCCTGTACTTCCTTGTCTCATCTTGTTTAAACTTGGAACTCTTCCAGACAGATACTGCTCCATCTTGTGATATTTAGATAGGTCTCCAACAAAGTGGTGAATGGCCCTGGTGAAAATGCTTGCCTACATTTCTGCTACATGGTACAACTACATGCAAAGTTATCAGACGAGCTTAAAGGAGCTGGTGTGGCTGTGCAGAGCAGCAGCCTAGGGAGATGCTTGCCCAGTCTGACAGCTGGGCCAGCCTGGGGCAGCATCCAGACTCCCCATCAATGCCATGGCGGCACGAACACATGTCCTCTGGTTCAAGCACCTCTGCACAGCACTTCAGGGAGCATTGAGACTTCACACGGATGCCTTCATAGGAGTGTTAATAACAATTGCTCAAGGTTGTTTGCCAAATTTTGGCTTCTTAGAAGGTAGACATCTAGTCTAAGCAGCCCCTTCTGTAGCTAATGGAGGATGACTGGCAACACCCAAAAGCAATTCTTCCCATTGATTTTAAGTCCCTTTCCTGGTGTGGGATTAACAGTGCTCTGGACGTCCTGCCTCCCTTCACTGATTATAGAGGAAACATAGGTGACTGATTTTCTCCTGGTGCTAAACTATTAGGCAGCTATAATCATACAGGGTGAAGGCACTTTTGGAAGACCTGAAGGCTGTTGATTCTGTGCAGAAACTACCGTGTGTTCAATATCTTTCCACTAAAGGATCAAGGCTTTTTTTGCACTATAGTACAATCTCAGAGGGGGGTGTTAGATAACTGGTCTGGAAAACGTGTTGCATTCCTCATGCTGTAATCTGACAAAAATGACAGCACAGGAGAGAGGAGAGGGGAATGAGCAAATGGTGACCAGTTGCTTCTGTTGGGAAAGAAAAATCATTGTGTGTTTAAATCACCTGTCCAAAAGGGTGATGTTCTTCACTGATGCCAGGCCATACAGCAGCTTTTCTTTTTCTTGTGCTAATGAAGTTTCTTGGTATTTTTCGAACATATAATTCCACGATGACTCGTTACCTGAGTTCTGCATCCCATAGCGATATACCAGGAGTCGAAGATTTGCAGGAATACTAAAAGAAAGAAAGAGTACTTGAATATTCTTGCCCCTTCCCTGCTTGAGATCTGTGACCAACTCACATGCTGTGTTCTTCACCAACCACAAAAGCTGTGAGCACTCACGTTTGTCCTTGTAGCCATTGCTCGAACAGTTGGGAAGCATTATTCAAAGATTCTGTGTCATCCATACTGCAGGCAAAGTCTAGAACAGATGCACGAAGAAGCCTTTAAAAGAGAGAAATAGAGGGAGAGACATATATTATCCTGCTGCTTAACATTCTTTGAATCCATCAATAATATGAGCAGGAAAAAAAAAGATCATTCAACCTCTCCAAATGGCCTCCAGAATCATTCCAGTGCAGTTGATCCACAATGGGTTTTACCAGGTAGCGAAAATATTCCTGAGGTAGAAAAAGGGCGTTGGTTACTTGTGAGGATTTCTTTAAATAATAATATATTTTTGTTCATAGTTTACTCTCCTTCATTTTTACCAGGACGAGCATCTCTTAAAGAAAAAGGAACACAAACGTGCACATGCACAATCTTTCTGGATCACCACAGCATGCCAGGTCTGAATGTCTGCGGTACTGATGCACAGATAGGACAAAAGCCACCTGCTTCTCTCCAGCCTTGTCTGTGCTCCCAAATGAAGGTTGGGGTACAGCAAGGACACACCGCCACAACTTTTTTCCAGAGATAATGCTGAATTCAGGACATACTTATTTTGGCGACCACTAAATCATGTTCAGCATGTTAGGTCAGCTAACAAACCTGCTCACTGACACATTGAGATATAGCCATCCTTCGTGCTGAGGGAGGTGTCAGACATTTTGCTGCTCTACATATACTTCATTATTGGATGCCGGACAGCCTTGACTAACACTTCTACTGTGACTTATGGTGATGGATTATAAGAATAATTAGGCATAATTTCTTTCCTCCAAATGCATAGTTCTGAACTGAGAATTTAGGAAATTCAGAGATCAGTACTAAACAGTTTTCAGCACTTTTTTTTAAGAGTCCAGTAGCACAAAGTAAATACTCATAGCTCAGCAACACTGAAAATCACTTGAACTTCAATATTATTGCAGTTACAGATCCTGAACTGCCAGATGCAGTGGTCCCATGCAGGAATGTTTTTTTTGCTTCATCACCTGAAATCGAGGATAGAGATTTGTATCATCTTCAAGCATGTTTGCAAGATAAGATACAGATGATATAACTCTATGCCAAGGTAAATAGTCTGTTTCATTTGTTAGGTATTTTGTGAGCTCCAGGGGAACAGAGTAATTCACGAGTCCAGGTCTGTGGAAGGAGAAAACATAATGTCAGTTATTTTAATGCATTTGAAGATCCTGCTTCTTTAAAGATATTAGAACACTATTTACTTTAGAAGGTCTGAAATAATAAATTTTAGGGGGGGGGGGGGAAAAACCGGGAAACACTGAGGATCACTGTCGGTCAACGTCTAGCTGCAGGAGCTCTCACTGCCATGAGGAGGCTGCTCACATTGTGCAGCATCCCAGTGTGCCCAGAAGTGGGTAGCCCTCAGCTGATGACATTAACTCACGTCACACAAAAAGGAATTGCTAGTTCTGGAGACATCCTGAAAGACTGAGGAGATTCAGACTTACAGGCTGTCACAGAAGGTCACCTAAAGTTTATCTTTGTCAGTGTGGCTGGGTACAAGAGCTAGAAGTTTCCAAGCAACTTTTTAAACAAGACAGCTGAGGTGGTAACTTCCTAATGCCATGCTATGCATTGTAGGCATGCCTCTGATTTTCTGGACACCTAATTACTTCTAGAGTGCTTCTATTATTGTTACTTACATGGCAAAACCACCTCTTTCTAAGATCTGTGCAGTTAAAGCCCTCTTTTTTCCTACCACTGAACTGAAAGGGAGCATTTCTTTTGCCTGCTTTGGTGCTGCAAGTTGCCAATGCATACTTGAATTTGCCCCTTTTGGAGGACAAAGTAAGCCAATAAATAATTAAGATTTGTAACCTATTCAGAAATTTTCTTTCAACCACCTGAGTTGAGTTAATTCTAATCAATAGGCAATGGAAAGTGAAAAACTTCTGTAGAAATCTCTGCAGGGAATTAATTTACCTTGCTAAAGAAAAGGCATCATCCAAAATCCCTGCACGGTCAGCAGCTGAAAAATCCTGTGTGAAAAGAGGAAAAGAGTGATCAAGAAAGTATAGATCATTTGCAGAAAAAACAGCCTCTACAGGCCTCTGTAAGAGACCCAGCAGACAGACTAGGGTTATAATACTGACTTTGTGGTTGTTGACCAGAAGAGTGCTTAACATGTCCCAGTTTTCACTATCATAATTCACCCGATAGAATCCAATGTGGTCTGGATTAATGTTCACAAAACTGTTAGGAGAAGATGCTATTATAATTCCTGCAAAACAAATGAACAATGATCAGTTTGTGCATCTTGTATGATACAGAACTCACTGGAGATTCCTGGACTCCAAAAGTAATATTTGGTTTTAATGAAAACCACAACGAGATCCAAGCTTTAATTTTATTTATTTATTTTTCAAATGGCTGTGAGTAAAGATGAGTTGTTATAGATTTTAATGAATGTCAGCACTTGCCTTAGAATAGTGTAATTGTGTAATTACTTGGGCCAGCTACTTTATTAAATTTAAAATGGAGATCACTGTGGTTAGGGTAAGGATGCTGAAAATTAGTGTCATTGTAAAAAGTAAAAAATTGCAAAGAAAGAGTTCTTGCAAGTATCTGTTTTAAAAGGATTTTCACCCTCATTATTACTATTAGTTTTAAAGTTCTCAGATATTATCCTCCATTTGTTTCATTTTTCATTTTATTTCAACTAACTTTTTAAGGATTTTCTTCCTTGTACCCTTCTCTCATTCATTTTTTGTAGCTGTAGACAAAGGAATTACAAAATAGACTGAGACTTTACTCAAGCACTGATGTTTAAGGAATTTCCCATTTAGAATGAATCCTTGAAAAATGTTCCTTTCTCAGAAGCTTGGCCTGGTCCAGTTGGGGCAGCTAGTTATGAAAGTTTTTCTATTGCCCATTGAAAGCAGTGGTCTTCAATCTGTGGTTTGAGGGTGGCTGGAGTTAAAAGCACTTTTCTTTTTGGATGACCTGTATAAGGTATTTCAAAAGGCATTTTTCCCCTACAGTTGCTATTTGCCTTACTAGACAAGATTTTTATGGGTGTAGAAGTAAGCACCTAATCATGCCTTTGCAGGCTTTGTCCAGTGAATAGCCCCTTGCAGCCTGCCATAACGTCATGTGGAAGTTAGAGAAGGAAAACATCTTTGTGTTAATCTCTGGCTTGTATCATGATATAAGACTTCTTTATTTCCATGAATACTGAAAGCAACCAGGCAAAAAAAACAAAAAAGCAGAACAAAAGACAGATTACATTTTAAACAGATAACATTCAAACAAGTACAAAAAGAGAAGAGTTGACTGTGATATTTCTGAAATTCCAACATGTGATGAAATTTTAAAATTCCTGAAGTCGGTAGTTTTTTTCCTTTTTTTCCCGATTTTTGGCCACTAGAGTTTTAGAATAAGTTCAGATTTGACTGCATCGTAGAACAATCATCAAAAATACCTGTGTAGGTATTTCCTAATTTCTGTAATCAGCATTAGAAAATGGGTTTAATAATTTGTAGCTCTTTTTCTTTAACTAAACTCAGATTGCCAGTTTACCATGCCACAGATGCATTCATCAGCCTCCCACTTCACCTCTTTTCTTGGACTCAATGAAGGGCTTATCGAAGCTCCGTTGATTTTAGTACATCATAATTAAGAGTACACTTAGATACTTCCTTGAATAGGGCTGGATTTAAACACATGCTTAAGCACTTTACTGAATTGGGTCTAAATTGACATAATGTGTATATAGGGCAAATAACCATCTTATTGCAGAAATGACTACTCTCTTCAGCACTACCAAGCTGTGTGCTGGTTTGCGGATCTGAAAACTGAAAAGCATGAAAGTTAATTCTGTATTTTATTTCTTGTTAAGGACATTGAAAAGCTTTATCCATTCATTACTCTTAAAAGAGAAGGGGAAGTTACCTTCAGAATCTGATGTGTTGTAGAGAGTATAATTAATTGAATTTTCAAGTCTCCATTTCACTGGTATATTCCATTTGTAACTGAAATTATTTAAAGGGAAAGAAACCAAATGCTAAAAATAAAACTCTAATGTATCTTTTTATTTGGTTTAATGTTTATGTCTTGTTTTATGAAGCCAACTGTGTGCTTACGTACATATACATTCACCAAATATTCCTTGTAAAAAAATCCTCAGCGTTTTACCAATAGCTGTTGTTTATGTTGTAAAGATGTTTCTGCGCTATGATACTCTATTCAGGCAACAAAATGTCAGATATTGGTGTGGTATGATTGGGGCAATTACATTCCCTGAAAAACAAAAGAAAAATCGTGAAGTGTCTGAGCATGTTCATGCTCTAGAGATGGGGAAGAGCAGTAACTTGTCTTAATACTTTGTATTTATCAGTAGTTCTCAAAATGCATCTGGTAGACTGAGCAAGGGAGTGGAGTAAGATTTTGTCCAGTGTCCTGTGTTGATGTAATGGTCAAATGAATACGGTACTGTGTTAATTACATACCTAAAGTTAAGTCTGAAAGCTGCACAATTTATCTGGTTCTTTTTTCTTTTTTTTTTTGAAAATCAAAGGAACTGCTAGGCCCATGTCCTTCTGAATGCAATTTTCACCTCTTGGTGACTCCACATGCTGGAGAGGGTAATAATTCCCATAATCAGAGAGATATCATGTGAATGAATTTCCATTATGCTGTGTTGTGTAGCTTATTACCACAGCTCTGGAACATGCAGCTCTGCTAAGCAGTATCTTCATGTCATGTCAGATAATAATCTAGCAGGGTATAAAGCAATTAATTTAGTAAAAGATTATTACATGTGGATGGTTGATGTCAGTGTTAATGCTGATGTGTTTAGGGCTTTGTGCAGACACCAGTTAATCTGTGCAACGCTGACTTGAAATAAGTGGTTGAGTATTACAAAATCTTTTTTACAGATGGGAAAACTCTAAGAGCTTAAGCAACCACTGCCACACAGTCAACAGGTCATCTTGCCTTTTCCAGCCTGTTTTTCTGCTCCAAGACAACCCTAATTCCTCCATTATAAAGCACTGGGAGCCAATTGTGACCTTACCTCTTGCTCTTCAATTCCTTGAATGCCTGCAATGGGTAGGTGCAGGCTCTTCAGTCCGAGGTATGCCCAGGACGAAGCTGAGACATTTGGGCTGGACGGGAACCATAGCACTGCCTTACCAAGGCCATGACCAGGCAGTCAGGGAAATGGGACAGCAGAGCATGCCGTAAGCATACTTGCACAGCCGCCTGCACATGGCTGCTAAAATTATGAAGCCCTTTTGAGCAGTCAGCTGCTGTTCCATGTTAGCATATTACAGTCAATCTCAGGGATATTTTTCTTCCTTCTTAAACCCCCTTGTGACCAGTGCTACAGGAAAATCTGAGTTGTCTTTACAACTCTGGATTAAGTGAATGACCATTAACTTCCAGGAAATACCAAAATTAAGGCTATGGCATCTCTTGCTGCCTCCAGAATGAAAGATCAGCTATTAGTTTGTATCTTCTAAACAAAAATATTGTAACAAACACCTCTAGATTTTACTAGTTCTCTTATGGAGCTTGCTACCATGGAATCTGGAGAGGTTATTGTTTGGTCAGAGGCCCCAGTGGTATATATCTCCAAGAGAAAGCCCATAAAAGATGTTTTTTTTAAACCGGTTTTGTAAATTCATTTAATGAGGGGGATTTTATTTCTTTTTTTTTTTTTATATGTTCCTGAGATTAGTCTTCCCAGGGCATAAGATATGATAGTTGTGTCCAGTTAACTGTACATATTCCTGACATGCCATGCTGTAGCTACACACTTGCCCAGCAGCATTATTTTAAGAGCACGAGTTATTGAACTTCCATTTCTTCTGAGTGCCACCATGCAGGAGAAGACTCTTTCAAGTCAATCAAGACTGAAACAAGCAGACAGCTCAGGAGACTATCCCTTCTGGGTTCAGAGAATAAAACATACACAAGGCCTGGAGTTTTCACTGCTTAATCAAAACCCTGCACCCAGACATGAAACAGGCCACTCCCATCTGGTGTAGGATCTCTTCAGGAGCTTCCTCATCCCCATCTCTGAGGGTGGAAGAAGGAGGTATTGGTTTTCGGTGGACTGACTTTTAGTCAAGGGAGTAAGTCTGTCCCAGAATAGATAATATTAATATTATAATACATATTACTGCATTTTATCTCTAAGTCGTTATAAAAACTACACTTGCAGAATCAATTTCCCCTCTCACTTTGGGAATAGCAGAGGCAGTGCACAGCTCAGCTTCTTGACAGATTAAGGTAGGAACAGTGCTGGGATTTCTACTCAAGAAATGACAAATGGCAATGTACTGTAAATCTTCAAGTCAAGCAAAAGCAGGATTTCTGAGCGCTACCTCAGAGCATAGTGCAAGAAGTCAACATTTTTAACAGAAAGTATTTTCCTGAATAATCTGAAGCACCAGCTGTTAAATGGTACTGTGCTGTAGTTTGCAGCTAGAGTTTCTTCAAAAGCCCGCAGACTGTTCTGCTTATGTTGGGAGACGTACAACATTGAGAATACATGGGTAATTATCTCATTCCAACTCTTATGATACCTATCCAAAACTGCCAATACTGTAGGACTTCTCCTTGCTCAAGTTTTTTCTTTGTACTCAGAATGAGATTAAGTGGCCACAACTGTTCATTTTCTCCTTGTTCTTGCTCGTTGTATTAAAATAACTAGTACAAGCTAACAGAAAATCTCATTTGAGTAGATTTAGTTCTGGTTCATACAGGCAAGTTTTACTGGTTTAGTTGTATTGGGCTAGTGCAAGGAAAGAAACCTTTCTAATATGGCTTAATTTGGATATCTTTCACTGAAGCATTTGGAAAGTTGTATTGCCTCAAAACTGGGGCTGGCTGAGAATATACACAATGCTAGCTCTGAACAGGTATTCAGCTGGTTAAAGCCATGGCACAGCTGAGCCATTTTTTTGTGCAGGTCCAACAACCCACAGGTAGAGTCCTCCCCTCAGGTTAGTCATCAGTTAATTAACAAATATGCTCCTATACATTATCCCACCTGTCTTGAACAGAGTAGATGAATGTCTGCGGCTGGCTGTCTGGCCACGTAAGAGCCCACGATGTCTAACTTGCACTAGACAACTGTCTTTTAGATGGCTAAAATTAAGCAATACCATCCTAAATTAAATGGGCAAAAATAGCTCTTGGTGAGGATTAACAACATTTATGCATGACCAGCTATTTCACAGTAATTCTTGTTTTTAAGACATGTAGAGAAGACCCTGTATAGTATGTAAAGATCCTGTGAAGTATTATAGGTCCTATACCATATAAGAAAAGGAATAAACTATTGTGGTACAAAATACCTGGATCATGGTATTTGATTTCTTGACAGAGAAAATTCTGTGTCAGTTTTCCTTAGTCAGGCAGGCTAGAATTTTCAGTGGTTCTATAGATGACTTCAAATCATCTGAGCTGTTTGTGAGTGGAAAGAAGATTTTTCTGAGAGACCTTGCCCAATTTTACTCTGCTGTGTTTGATAAAGAAACCCTGAGACAAAGGGCTGATGCTGTCCTAAACATGAAATATTTGTATCTAACTTTCTGCTGGTTTAGCAAGAATGGATATAACACTGCCTACGCGTGTGTTAGTTGGTGAGAGTATTTTTACAGTATTCCTACCTGTTTTGGATAGAGATTTACAGCAGGAACTTACCCAAAATCGGAATCAGGATAAGAAGCATTTGCACTGGGATCCAAGAGAAAACGTTTCTGTGTGAATACTGAATTACTTCCCATCTCCAAAACAGGGTAACCCATCTGCCTAGTCCATGTGTCCATGACTTCCTTCACAGGTTTATTACTTGCCTATGAATGATGGGAGGAGGTGACAGTGAAAAAGCAAATTCAATCCAAAGAGGAAAAAAATAAACACCTCTGATAATGAGAGGAAGAAGAGCAGAAAGGAGCAGGTGAAAGAGCAGGTTCAGTACAAAACATACTCCATTAAATCATTTTATGGTGCCTGTCATTTAAAGCAGGGATGAGCTGGAAACTTGAACATGGACAGAGGAAAAGAGAAGTATGTGGGCAGGAGACTGGCCAGTAACACGAACAAGAAATACTGAGGAGCTTTTGAGGCACCTTGTATGCTCTAAGACCTCTGTGTTTTTTCTGAGGAAACAACTGAACAGGATGCAAAGGACATAAAGAGACTTCTCAACGCCAGAACCCCCCTTGCAGCATGCCCTTTTCTGGATGTGAAGGACAACCCAGTATTAACCACCAGCAGCTGCACCAATGTAAAATTTGATCCATTCTGTGGACCATGAACTTCTGACCTAGGGACTAGATCTGCAGAAAGCTGCCACTGCCTTCCCAGGCTGCCACCTGTGAGGGAAGGGAGCTGGGATCACTGTTTCCTTCTGTAGACAAGGCAGATGATGTGAAGATGCAGAGCACCAGAGAGAGAGCAGGAAGAAGTCCTGCTAAGCAGGAAGAAGTCTGGGACCAAGGAGAAGATGAGAACCTGAAAGGAGACACAAGAGAGCAGCTTGGGCTGTGTCAGTGTCCACAGCAGTGGAAGAAAAGGAAATATCATGAGGGGAAGAACCTGGTAGTATGCAGGTGGACTTTTGGGGGTAATAAGATAGATGGAAAGAAACAGCCCAGCCTCAAGGAAAAGGGAAGATCAGAAAATGGTAGCACAGAGGAAGACCCAGCTGGGACTCAGAAGCTAGAGACAGAGATAAGCACCAAAATTTCTTAGGAAGCAATACTGTTGAGAGCTTTCAAACAGGTGAATATGGTTAGAGGTAAGGGAGAGTATTGGGTGCATGTGTGTGGTGGATGAGGGGTGTTTTCACCTGTGAAATAAGCTTGAGTTGTGGGGAGAATGTTTCAGTAGTAGGCTGTGTGTTAGCAAGGCCTCATTTCTTGTTTCTTATTCCACTCCCATAGTCTTATGCAAAAAAATGAGGAAATAATAATATTTGCTAGAAATAAGATATGTTGGAAGATGCTGGGAGGCTGCCTAGCTTGTGGTCTTTCATTGACAGAAGAGCTACAGAATGTAAAAAGTCTGGCAAATGGAAGCAAGCGGGTGAGATATGAAATTTTTACTAGCAAAGGTTTGGGTTGCTGCAAAACATACCTCTTCCAGAGCTTCCCAGAACTGGTCTGTCTTGGCATTTTGGAAATGGTGGTTCTTCAAATATGCCTAGAGAGAGGTAGAAGACTGTTAAAATACTACCAGGTCTTTCTTCTTTGCCTGTGAAAACAATACATATACTCAGTTGTACAGAGATTCAGAGAGTACAGGTCAGTTGTACAGAGTATCTGTCCATGGATAGTAGTATTGTGAGTAGGAGGTTAAAGGGATCGATATTCAGCTGATGAAGTTCCTTTGCTTTCCAGTGCATCCCATAAAGCTAAAAGTTAGCATCTTCCAGTATGACTTGTTAGTACAAAATAAATGGGTACTTGAAGAGTTCTTTGTATTTTGTTTGAATGGACAGTGTTGCAAATTTCTGTCTAATCTAAGAGGTTGTTTACAAGGAGGAAGCTATTTCAGGAGATTTGACTAGCTGTGGGCTCAGAGCGGAAGCAGAAAAGACTAGTCACCTCTAAGTTGTGATCAAAATTACTTTTATAAGGAATAACGGGATTCAGCTAGGTGTTTACACCTCCTAAACACTATTCCTGTCCTGTGTCTTACCTTGCCTGCTGGAGTGCTTTCCTACCCTGTTATCTGGATCCTGGTGATGTTTAGTCAGTAGATGGTGCTGTTTGTTTCACTGTTAACCACAGCTACCTGCTTTAATGTTCTTGAAGGCTCTGAGTAGAGGAGAAGTATTAGTCTCTTGTGGGACAGGATCCACCTTGTGGAACTGTCCTGATTGCATATGCAAAAGGAAAAATAAAGGAAAATACAGCTGTCTTGTAGCAGCCCATAAATGTACTTTCCGGGAGGGAGGTAAGAACACATGTGGTAAATCTGCCCTGCAACTCCTCAGAGATGATGGATGTCGGTTCAGAGGAAAGGGCAGATAACCTTTCTCTTTCTGGGAGGGCTCCTTTCTCCCATTTTTTCTTTCCATAATTTTGTAACATTGCACTTTTTCCTCCATGAGAAAGGACTATGAACTGGACATACTTTACAGCTCAATGAGGGGATCCTAGCTGACCACTAGATAACAGTGGCATGGAGGAGGTTTCTCCAAGAAAAGTTGTCATGAATTTAGGTCCTCACTGGCAGGCTATCAAATCTTCATGCAGTTCACTTTCCTGCTTCTGTGGGAACACGAAACTTTTTCCTCTTGATATTGTCCACTCATTACTGAAATGTATTTAATACTTTTGCTACTAATACCAGGACATCTGCTACTCACTTTTTGAATAATGGTTTTGCTACCGTCACAAAAGGATGGGCTACATTTCTGTGTGTTTTGATGCCATCTTTACCTGACAGCCTTTCTGGAAGAGGTCTGGTGTAATCCAGTCTCGAAGCATTCTGAGGATCGATGCACCCTGAGGGCAAAGGGAAAGGGGAGATGGTCATTGCATGGTGCTTTGACACTGGCTTTCCATTCGCCTAAAAAGCAACCTGTGAATGAATATTTTACAGGGCAAAAGTAGAATTCACAGAATCACAGAATGGTAGGGGTTGGAAGGGACCTCTGTGGGTCATCTAGTCCAACCCTCCTGCCGAAGCAGGGTCACCTACAGCAGGCTGCACAGGACCTTGTCCAGGCAGGTCTTGAATATCTCCAGAGAAGGAGACTCCACAACCTCCCTGGGCAGCCTGGGCCAGGGCTCCGTCACCCTCAGAGTGAAGAAGTTCTTCCTCATCTTCAGCTGGAACTTCCTCTGCTTCAGTTTGACCACTGAAAAGAGCTTGGCCCCATAGAATTCAGCTATGTAACTAAGGAAGTGGTTTTTCTAATTCCTTCATGGCATGGCACGCCTGCCTGTCAGACCTTAATTCTGGATGTGGAAGTTGGTCTTTAGCTGTGAGGAGATACCTGCTTTTGAGTTCAGCTGTGCCAGTGGAAGGGCTCCCGAGCCTTCCTGCTGGGAGTTAATGTCCTGCTGCTCTACCAGTTTGTGTGAACAGGGCTCTGTGTTTCATTTTGAACAGGACAGGGATGAAGGCAGCTGGGGAACTAGCCCCATGCAGCTGTGCAGCCCAATACAGGACGTGACTTCTGCTGAACATCGAGCAAGTAGGGAACTCCAAAAATTCTGGAAGTCTGGGGCTTTACATATTGGGGATGCCATCTCAAGATTCAGAATGAGCTTTGCTGAGGACTGGTGTAAGAGCATTCGCCTCTGAAGTGGGGTAGAATTGAGATCAGAGAAGTTACTTAATTGGGTGACACAGAAAAAAAAACATTTAGGACCTTGAAAGAAGAAAGAAACAAAGGGAAGACAGGAGAAAGAAGTAGAAGAGTCATGTGGAAGAAAGAAGAGTAAGGGCACAAAGTGATGAAGAACAAAAGCAGTGCAAACCCAATCTAAAATGTAAAATACCATTTTAGGATTAGCGTGTTTTCATTTTCCGAACTAAATCAAAGGGCAGCTGAAAGCCTAATGCTTTGAATGTTTTAAAAATCCAGTTGTCCCATGAAAACAAGAGAGTTATCTGAATTATCAGTAAATCCCTTCTCCCCTGTTTACGTGTCTGAGAATAACAACTTGGCTGCACGAGTCACAGCAGAAGGTCTGTTTGAACAGATACACCTCAGACTGCTCTCTAGACTAATGTTGCAGAGGCAAGGTGGTCAGCAGATGACTCTTTGCTGACACAGTAATTTAATGTGTTTGCCATGAAATATGTTAAAAAATGATTCAGTAAAAGTTAGAACAGATATCCATTAGTGGTAATCATAAGGCTGCTTATGATTAGTGGTGATCGTAAGGCCCCATGTATGCACTAGGGAATCTTAGTTCCTCAGCTTCATCTATCAGTCACTTCTCATCTGACACCACCTCACATAGACCATCCCCTCCCATTTATATTAAAAGTCAGAGTAGAAATATGCACTTGTGCATGCATTTGGGAACAGTGGAGATTTCTTTTGCTTTAAAGTGCAATGTATAGCTAGCCCCTTGCATCTTCTACTACTGTTTTTCAGTCTCTTTCCCGTACTCTTGTCCCTCCTCTATACTTCATGATGGAGTGTGTTTGAGAAAAACACATGCTAACAAAATCACTGGTTCTAGAAACTCCAGTGTCTTCCTAATTTTTCTTTCTCTCAAATATTTGGGGAGGTTCGAGAAAGTGACTTTGATTTGAATAGCTGACCTTGTCTGATGGGGATGCGGGGGGGAGTCTTTTATCAACACCCACATAATTTTTCTTAGAGAGTTGTAGTAATTGCCAAGTATATGACAAGATTGTATGTGGAAGAAATGTGGAACGTTTAATCCTAAGCTTCTTTAGCTGAGACGTTCTAAAAATGTGGGGGTCCAAGAACAAATTTATAGCAGAACTTATTAAGCATCTGTTCTCTGAAAAGGTAATAAATGAAAAAATCTCATTGTTACTTTAATACAATATTTCAGACGAAGAGAGATGATTAAACTGCAAAAGAGGTGAGATGCACTTACTTTCTAAGATCATATTAAAAAAATTAGATACATTAATTGTGTAGTCACCAACCCTACTCTAGTACATCTTTCCTAGGTGCATAATGCCCTACTGATCATACAGCAGTTAGAGGTTCCCTTACAGAATACACTGCAATGACTCCACAGACCCTTAGGTAATTCATTAGAGTTTTAGGATTGTATAAGCCCTGTAATTGTTCTGGTAAAACTAACACAGAGCATTCCAAATTATGCTTTATTTGTTTAGTGATGAATATTATCATGAGGAGATTGTTTTTATAAGAGAAGTGCAAAAGAGAAGCCAAAATAAAGCAAAAAAGAAACAAGTTAATTTTGTCATGCATTTGTATATAAATACCAACAGTAATTTGAGCTAAATATACATGAAAACTTCCTCGCTCAAGCCAGATTATATCCTAAGCCAAATTATACCCCAAGCAGACTGTTCCCAAACAATGCACGAGTCCTCAAGTGTTTTCGCTTAAAAAAACAAATGAGTTCATCTAGCAATTATCTAGGCACAGACACAAGTATAAAATAGGATTTTTTTTCTCCATTGTTTTTTCAGACCATACAAAAGTGGGTCTCTTGTTTAGCTCACCACTAAAATACTTTTTTGTCCAGAGTATTTGACTTAGCTCTGTATGTTTCTTGACTTTTGTTAGTTTGATTTAAGGACAGTGTTACACAGTGCAGGTTTTCACATAGTTTATGATTTGACTGTGAGGCATTTATGATGCAATAAATACTGGTTGTATTGTTGGATAGAGGATTTAACAATTGAAACCAGAAAACTTGATGGAAATGGATGGATCAAGTCTAGGTAATAAAAGTAATATCTAGGGCTACAGACTCCAGCTCAGCTAAAGCTAAAGGCAATGCAATACATACTTTATGTTTAGCTGATAATGGGAACTTGGAGGGAAAGCAACAAGTAAGATTTAATAATGGTGGATTTTGTGTTTTCAGTGGAAACTTGTTATGGCATCAGATAGGAAACACTGACAGAGTCACACAAGAAGTTGTAAACCCAAACATGGTGTCTTAGGGTCAGAAGCAACCCAGTCTGGGAGATGGCTGACCCAAGACCCAAGGCATTCTTCCAACTGCTTCCAGCTGGCTCACGAGAGAGACTTTATAGCACAGGTCCCCACTGCTACTGACAGGGACAGCCCAAGGATTAGCAAAAAAACTTGTCAAATACCTAATGAGATGTCTTCTGCCTCCTCCTGGGCTACAGACTACTGTATGCCAAGTCAGTCCTGAGCTCCACAACTCTCAGTGAAACGTGGAGCTAACTTACCCCCCAGTTTAGGGGCAATGCCAGCAGAGGCTGGTGGTAGCCTATCTTTGCTAAGGCTTCTCGGATAGCTGGGATACTGTGAGCAACATGAGACAAAATGTTACTTTCCTGTTTTCACTGCTTGGTTCCCTGCCTTGCTTCCTCAAAATAGAAGTTAAACTGCCCCGAAGGTGTGAAGGGGAAGTGAGACAGGACACCTGGATGTCTGCCCTTGCATTAGATCATGAGGCTTGATATAATTGGGCTGCATTAGCGTGAGGTGTTGGTAGAGGTCTGTGGTAGCTGGTTTAGGACAATTTTAAAACTGACAACTCCAGTGGAAGAATCTGGTGACGCTATGATTTTCTTGCTCCTCTTCATGCTGTGAGCAGGTTTGCATGGCACACAGCAGCTGACTGGGGCTCTGGCTGCGCCAGGACTCTGGCTGCACTGCTCCTCTCGCAGTCGCTTTTGACTGAATAATCACTGACCACAGTCAGGAATGTCCCAGAAAAAAGATCCACACAGACACAGTCCAAGTGGGTTAGGAGTTACAATTATGAGCTTCCCTGACTTTTATCTCTTCTCCTAAGCTTCCACTGTCTTTGGATCCAAAGTCACAAGAGGACAATATCCTACCTTACTGTAGGATATCCCATCAAACACAGAGGTGATTTCAGCTGGAGATGACACGTCGACCACAATTGGGTGGGAAGACAGTAATGAGTCATCATTCATTACAGGAAGCACATCATCAATTAAAACCTGTTCAAGCTGAGAAAGAGAAGATATTAGAATAGAAACAAAAGCAGGACTAGATGCCTAACTTCACAAAATAGGTAGCTTGAACTGCAGCTTCTCTAGGGGGAGGCAGTTGGAAACGTAATGAAATGTCACCTCCTCTGAAGAAGGACTCACAAACTCTTACCTTACGTCTGAAAGGGGAGGGATACATTTTTTTACTTAACCGAGATGAATTATGTTTTGCAAATCCTGTTTTCCCATGTGTATCATAACACACAAAAACTCTCAGTAGGCAAAAAAAGGAGCCTGTATTACCAATTTCAGCAGTGTGATAGTATCTGCAAAGCATTATGGGCTCCTTTTGCAAAAATGGAGGTGGGGAGGAAGGAAAGGAGGGAGGAAGGAGACAGCATTCCTAATCCCAAGGTTTATAACTCTTTAAAAGTGATTATAATTTTTTAAAAAGATAAAGTGACCTTCAGTCAAAATTCCCTTACTTGCTAATCAATATTGATGAAAAAAAAAATTTCTGTTTAGTTTTCTTCTTCTAATACTCACTAGGATGATAACTCTGAAATTACTCTAGATTTTAAATGAACATGGTATCTAGATACTAAAAGGTCTTTTAAAATTTAGGCTTAGTAATTAAAATTTTTCGTATGTAGTTAGCACGTCAGATCCTCTATTTCAAAGTGTAAAAGAAGTGACCCAAGAATGGTTTTGTTCTCAGACTCACATAGCATGAAAGAGAAGAGTTATTTATGGGGAGCAGGGAGAGATGTAGGGGAAGCACCAGGTAGGCACTGCCTGCTTCTAAGGTCACTAGGCCCAGGGGCTAGTAGATTTTCACAACGGGCTTAATCTATGCAAAACCTATCCTGCTTCCTTCCACTGGCATCTGTTATACATTTTCTAGCAGCCAGAATCTCATTACACCTGGACAGCTGGGGGAAATATGCATGCTATGCATCATCACATCTGTTTTGGAAAGGAGGAAGGAGAGAGTAGGAAACCTCCCTTTATTCACACGCTGTTATCTTTCCTCAGAGTATAATGCGTATTTAAGGCTACCATCTTTGTCTGCAACCCCCGAAAGTAACTGGAGTTGGTTTTGCTGCACATTTAGTGCTGCGGGCCATCCACTATCACTACCTATTTTTGCGCTGTGTGAAGCAGAGATTGTCTGAGTAGGAACATTTGAAACAATAGAAATTATTGAAATAATAGAATACTGGCAGCAGATCAGTGAGGGATCTAATACTTTTCTTGACAAATAGCCCAAGCTGTGGAGAAAGGCCAAGATTCCCAATCCTCACTAGGTCAGATAACAACCCTAAGGCAAGTCCTGTGAAGAGACATTACAACTCAACTGACTAAGTACAGGGGAATCTCCATCTTCAACAGTACCTTTAAACAACCTTGCAAAATTGCTAAAGCTCTGTCCAGAATCCGTGTAGGTATTATTTGCCATAATAATAACCAAACACTTGACTCACTTGTTAAAAAGGAATGACTCTTCCCTGCAGAATAAAACTTTAAAAAGTTTACTTTGACTTGTTTAAAGCCATAATGTAGGTAGATGGAAAATCTTAAAGTAACTTTTTCTTTATGTTGCACTGTACTATGTTAGTTTTCTATAAATACACTTTTGAGTCTTCATTGTCCTTGTCTAAATTTTACTCCCTTCCAAAATGCTCTCTGCAGTGCCACCAACCCTCCACAAAACAGAAATAATTACCATTTGCCAATCTGGTTCTGAAGCATTTACTCCCAGGAATTCAAAATAACTGGCAAATCCTTCATTTAACCACAAGTCATCCCACCAGTCCATGGTCACAATATTTCCAAACCACTACAATTACAAACATTGAAAGATATAGTGTTAGATAAATGGTAAATACACATTTCAGTATCTCACATCTCCACATAGAACATTGATTTGTTCACTTTTCCTGTTGCGAGAGAAAATCATCATAATTCTGGAGTTTAAATAGGAAATTAGCCCTAGCCTAGTGTTAAAACATCACTTTTATTACAAAATTATATATTACTGGGGAGATTGCTAATGATTCATGTGTCATTGAAAATATTTTTAGTTTCTTCCTCCTGATTTGATGATTTGTGCTTGCAAGGATATGTTTTCAGACAGCCTTCACAGTGTATAGTTGTCCCTATTTGCTTGCCCAAGAGACATCTGCACATGCAAATTAGTTCCTTTAAGACATTTCAGACAGATTTTCATAAGCTAGCTCGCAGTCTGGACCCGAGCATCTAGCTTCCTGAGAAAAATTCAAAGGCAGTAATTACGCTACTTTAAAGCTCTAATGGGGAGCTGTTTTAACACAATATTTTGCAATCAAATTGTGAGCACACGTAGAAGATCCCGAAAGAGAGTTAATGACGCTATTTTCAAGATTAAAATGTTGTGACTACACATTTGAAGGACTGTAAAAATTATTTGTGTTCTAAAACATACCTGATGAACGAGCTCATGGGCTACCACAGCAGCTACTCTCTGTTTGTTGGAAGTGGCCGACTCATTGGGATCATACAGCAGGTTTGTTTCTCTGTATGTGATCAGCCCCCAGTTCTCCATGGCACCTGTCCCAAAATCTGGAATAGCTATTTCATCTACATCGAAAGAAAGAGAACATGATTACTGCTATATCCTTTGAGCCACTTGGCTTCTCCTCTTTCTGTGTATTCACAGCCTGTTTTGCTTGCTATTTGTAGTTCTGGCTTACTGCTGTGGACTGCAGTCTGTAACCTGTGTCTAAGAAACAGAGTACTGGCCTACAGCAGCTAATAGCAAGCACCCTGGCTCTGCTGAGATTAATGCAGCTAGATCAGTCGCACTAGCTGAGGATCTGTCCTGCAAGGTGGTGCTATGCCACCTCTTGGGAGTGTGCTTATTATACATTACTTAATTTTGGCTCCAGAAATTAATAGTATTGTCTGGGGATGTGCTGTAGGCATTAAACCTCCTGAAACTATCTGTAGCGTAATAAGATATGTCATTGTTTGTCACACTGTTGTACTAAAAATATTTATTGACGTGTTAACTGAAGTAAATCCCCCATGCAATGAACAACATCTGCTTTTACTCCTGGCAGTTTGTGGGGGTCACTCATTTATGGTCAGTAATCAATACTGGTTTAAATGAGACTTGTGGACTCAATTGCACTGGTATTTTCTTCTGCAAATAATGATCACAGTCTTTCTATGTGGGTCAGGGAAAAAGTACGGATGGATATAAAACTGAATAGAACAAACAACCCTCACTCCACCGTAACAGAAAATAGGAATTACTTAATTTAATTTAAACAATTTCATTACGGAATCAAAGCTGGTAGTCTGGCAAGGGCTTCACTGACTGTCAAAACGAGGATCACAAGGAGAATGACAATGCCAGAATCCATAAATCAATGTGAAATACAATATTTAGATAAACCATTATGTAGAAACACATTTCATTCATCAGGTTTGATCTAGATGACTTTTAATACTGAGGGAACAACATAGTTGGTCAAGGTTTGTGATCCAACAGACATTCTGAAAAAAACAGTATGAAATCTGCAAAAGCATCTACCCTCTGGTACTGCTGACCTGGGGTTACTAGTCCACCCTGTAGCCCAGACAGGCCCCTATCCATACTCTGACATGGCAAAGTCATCAGGCATTTATGGAAATGAAAGTTTGAATATGAAGCATAGATGAGATATAGTCCCAATTATTAGTGGGGAACAGTGTGCAAAAGAACAACATGAACGGGTTTCCCTCATCCTGTTGTTGTTGAAAGGCAAACAGATTTTTACAGTAAACTCAGATGATGTTTTGAAAGGAGGAGGTAAAAATCCATTGTTAAAGTAATACGGGTTAGCTTGATAGGTAGGTGTATGAATAGCCAATAAAAAGTTTGCATAGTATTGTTAACTGTCTTTAAAGTTTTGAGGGTTTTTTCCCCCATTACATTGCCTTAACCTGATTGTAGTTAATATTTTTCCATCAAGTTCATGAACCTAACTGAATTGCCTCTTTAGAGGTCTTAGGAGAGGGCATTTCCAAAACTCTGTTTACATTCCCAACTTTATTAAATCAAACTGCACAAATTAGATCCAGAGTCCAGATAGCTCAACCTAAAGGATGCCCAACTGCACTACTTTTTCTTCACTAGTTTTGTAACCATGGGCAAAATTTGATAGTGTGCCCACTCTTGTTTAGCTCTGAGTCTTTAGCCCAGCAGTAGAAACTACGAGCTACGTACTGGACCACATTCATCTTTCTAAGAAGGGGATACACATTCACTTTGCATTCAGGTTAATAAATAGTATGTTGTGCTCAATGGCAGTTTACATCTTCACTTATTTCACTGTTGACTTTTGCCCAGAAGTTCCCATGCAAGTGGTACATATTTTTCTCAAACTTCTGGCTCTGTTTTAGCTCATGATGTTCCTTTGCTGATGACACCAATGCTTCCCCTGATTTTCCACAAGACGTTAAAACCATACCAGGAACAGTGCTTCAGTTCAGCAAACTGGACTGTGAGAGTTAGTAACTAAATTGTTAGTGAGACCAATCCTCCCATCATGACATTTAAGAACATCTTGAACTACATGCATACAGTTTTCAAATATCCTGTCATAATATCAGCAGTTAGCAACCCAAAGCTTTCATGCTGTTTTCCACCAAAGTGCAGAGACACATAGAAGAATCATAACTATGACAGTGAATTAAGAAAATGAAAAATATAAGTATTAATAATCACCTAGTTTTGGAAGAGAATAACTCAAATTAAAGTACTCTTCAAAGAAGTCGAATATAATTTTTGTTACATTTGCTGCATATTCTGCTGTGTGTATTTGCTGTGGCTGGGCGTAAACTCTCAGCTGTAAAATACAGAGAGACAATTAGAGCAGTCTTTAGCTAAAAGAAATAAGAAGGTGGTAAGAACTGAAAGGTCATTTAACAAACATACCTCTAACACTGCAGATTTTCTCTAAGAGACTCTCCTGTACACCGAATTCTGTTCCCTAATATGCTTATTCAACAAAATTTTTCAAATGTTATACGTAAAAGAGACTAAGTCAAGATAATCTGTGCCTTCTTTCTACAGTATGCCTAAATCGTAAAACTGGCAAGACCCATGTCCAGAAGCTCACAGTGGCCAAGACTGGAGCAGGGCCTGGGTTCATACCAGCCCTTCCTTCCCCAAGGCCTGGTTTTGTCATGAAGGAAGCCTGGGCAAGCACAACTGAAGGGAATCTACTTGTTCTGAGCAGTTCATTGCTCCCATCAGACCAATCTTCAGGAGCACCTCTGTCCTGAAATGTGTCTGAAGTCCATAACACTTTATTTTCTTCAATTTCTTCCTACCTTTCCTACCTACTATCGTTGCAATTTCCTCTTGTCCTTGTATGTTTGAAGATCTCAGACCCTTTGAAGCAGTGTGTTTACCAGATCTGTAATTCTTCCCGGACATGCTGGCCCATGCAGGTCAAATGGCTGTTTGCCAATGACCTCAGGGCTTACAGCCACCTCGTCACAGCTATGGTGCCTGCTGGGATGCTGTGCCTTTGGAAATCCCAGACAAAAAACAGCGCTCTCTTCCTGCCAGGCAGGTCCAGGAAAACTGGTATGTTTGGTAGCCCTGTGTGCAATGAGTGACTATGTCTGTGCTTCTTTTGCATAACTGAGCATGCTTTTTTCCCCTGAATGCAAAAAATGAGGTGTTGACCTCTCCGTCCCTGAGGCTTGATGCCTGGGACTGCTTTGGCTGTTACTGTGAGGCAATAGGAAAACTCAAGCCCTGGAGGACTAGAGTCCTTAAGGCACTCATAACCATGATGAGGAGGCCTGCAGCTTGAAAAAGCCTGTTCGGATGTGATATCCACATTGTGAAGACAAAGTTTGACTTCAGAATTCATGGAGTCTTTTGGGGGTCTTTCCCTCAAGCTCTTTGTCCCAAAGCTCACACAGATCTCTGCCCCAGAGCAGAGCCATTGCACTGAAGTGTTCACTGGCAGGAGCTGCAGCCTGTTCTTGTCATCGTCCCCCAAAATATCCAGTGTGCAAAGTAAGACAACTTTATATGGAGTGAAGTTTCTGGCTTTAGGAAAACTGATCCACCTCATCTTGCAGGGTCTGTGACTCTTATGAATGGGCCACTTTCTTTTGGCTGTGTTGGTGTGGCTTGTTTACTGCTCAGTGCTGTCTTACAGCCAGGAGTTTAGGGTCCAAACTGAGCAAAGGAGCCAGCCTACTCCAGGAGCCCTCTTGGAGCCTGACAACACATTAATTTCAATACCATGAAATTACACTTCCTCCAATGAGAGGGGAGGATGGGAAAGTGGTCAGAAATAAAGCTGGAATGAAAAACACAAACCAAAAAAAGCTTATGAAATTCAATCGGGAATCCTTTCCAGCCAGGGCATTTCCCTCAGGGTCAGTTTGCAATTACAGTCTGCAATTTCCACTTCAGTAAGCTCTTTACTCAATTTAGCAGTCTTTGGTCCCCTACCTGATCCATATTAATGGTTTCCAAAACTTTCAGCATGCACTAGAACTGACTTTGGGTTTCATTTGTATAATGTCCTCCATGATTTTCCAAACCAGAAATTTGGTACCTGACGGGTAATCAGCTCAGGAGCATAGTTTCCAGCTGTAGGCACAATTCCCACCATTAACTCCATTAATGTCATTGTTAGGGCAGCGGCTTTCAGAGTGAACGGCTGAGTTTTTAAATAATTTACTGCATCACGTGAGCTGTATGCTGTTGCTGCTGTTTATGAAAGCAATATATGGATCACACAGATACTTTCTGCTAGATAGGGATTTATTGCTAGCAATTTATACAGCAAATTATGGAATGTTCTTTTCAGCAGCCGGTGAATCTAAATACCTCATTGCTCGTCTGGGCTTCAAAGTTTTTTGAAAGTAACTGTTTGTTTAGGAGAAGGACTTTCTAAATATCTGATTAAAAACTCTATAGATAGCCTGGTTTTCCTGGGGAAAAATTAACTTCTAATGATGTAGGTTATGTGGTTCTCTTAATTAAAAACAATCTTACACATATACTTTATATTGGTAAAAATATGCTAACAGAAAGGAAATGCTTATGATTTTAACCTCGCTTAAGAACTACGTTTTATAGTGCAGGCAGGTTCTTAGATATTTAGTAAATAGTATTAATAAAATATGTAGCAATCAAGGCCTGAATTAGAAGACGTTTCTTCAGGCAACCTCTGTACTGACACAAATACCCCTGCTTCTACACATACACACTTTAACTACCACATTTCAGTGAACACTCCCTCCTGTTTAGAAGTGCTAAAACCAGTCAGGAACATTGTGGGCTTTACTGTTTCGCTTGGGGAAAAAAAACAAATATTGTCCTCAGAGCCATATGTTGGAGTGTGGCATGGACAAGCAGAGAATGTTAACTTTTGCACCTAGAAAATAATTAGTTTTACATACATCTACAGCATTGTTTTTTTTCTGTTGCACTATGTTCTACCAAACCTGCACAAATTCTGATTCTTAGGATAACTAAACTCTAGAGAAAATCTTTTGAGGCCAAATAACCAAAGCCCTGTCCCTGATAATGAATGGAGCAGTCGTGCTGAAGAGCATTGGGTTTACAAAATTTTGTGGCTGAGTGGCCTAAAACATTCTACTATTTTAAAAAATTACTCAGTCAAACAGCAGAGTTCTTAGAATATTGCATCTCTGTCTCAAACAAGGCTCCATTTCCTTGGCTAAGTGTAATTTAGCCTTCGCTGTTTGTCAAGAAATCACATAAGCGTACAGCATGATGCTAGCGAAGGCATAGAGGAGGGAGGCCTCAGCACAGTGCTACGCCAGGAAGTCTTTGCTAAGAACTGGATCAGCGCTTTGGACATTTATACAAGGCAGATTTTCACATCAGTGGGCAGCCTTAAGTAGGAGAGTATTTGCAGAGCTTTTCCTGATAGAGAAACTCAGGAAGAGCTTACTTGCTAGAGGAGCAGTGGTCTGACTGGGACTTTGCTCTACATTCCCTGTCCATCGGTGTCACTGCCTCCAGAAGAGGAGGAAAGTGCTGCCAGCTCAGTTGAACTGCAAGACCATCTGTTACACCCCTAAGGGGAAGCAGCAAGAGCATACAGCCCTGGGATCACCCTCTGTCTTAGATGAAAAAAAGATGTAAATCAATAAATAATTAACAGAGGGCTGAGCATCTCTAGACTAGGTTTAGGCTAAATGAGGAGTTTATGTTGAGGAGCAAATTGTATATAGGCTTTCAGGTTGTGATTCACCATAAAGTCTTGTGATCTCCTTATGCCTCATCAGCTGCACCTTCAGGACATTTGAATCTAAGTGAGAACTGGATTGGACCACCTGTTGCATCAAAATAAAGGAGCTATTTTAATTTTATGGATTCAAATTCAATCATACTCACTTCATTAGGGCACCTAACAAATATCCAGCTGTTTAGGCAGGCATTATCACTTCTACATTTATTTGTAAAGATCTTACATTGGGCAGTTGCCTTTAGCCACTGTTGTAAAATAAAGAATATTAGAGCCAATGTATAATGGTACATAGCATTCTGTCTCCATGACTGCAAATAGGAAGACATCAAGCGCATAGATTCACACCTCTTAAGCCACAGAAAACTGTAAAGCATTTGTATCCATGGCCTGTGAATCTCTTTTATCCCTGGACTTGTATATTCCCTCAGACTCTGGGCTTCAAGTCAGGGATGAGGTTGAAGAAACCGTGCTTCTTCCCCACCCGTGAGCCTGTGTGGGAGGTACTGACTGGGATCTCACCAAGATGGGAGACAGAGAAGGGCTGCAAAACACTGTGTGCGTTCAAGGTCAAAGGGACCCCTGTGAACACCTAAGTTGACAAAACAGGCTATAGGAAAGGGAAAAATATGTTCCTGATTGTGTTTTAAAAAGAGATATTTCATTTTTTAAGAAATGCAAATCACAGTACATCTGTCATCTGAACCATGTTCAGGCTGCAACAGGACTTACAGGTTTTCCACTGGCGGATATTCTCTCTACTGACTGAAACTGGTGCACCGCAAAGCATACCAAGTAAGTGCTCATGGGAACTGACTTCTCAAAAGTTGTCCGACTCCAGCCATCGCCCAGCTGTATGGTTTGCTGCAGAAACAGAAAAAAAGTAATTTGATTATTGGAATTGCAAACACATGCAGAAGAGGGTACAATATTTCTGTGAAGGTTGCAACTACATAGGAATGATAAATCTCCTCTCCAGGTTCACCTCTTCTGGCATCCCATTGCTGATGGCGTGAGAACAGACAAAACTTTTTTTCTGCAATACCACAATACACAAAATGGGACTTTGTTTTTCCACACTAAATAAATTTACCTGGTTCTAATTTTGCATCAAGGATTTGAAATCATTCACATGCACAGGAATTTTGCCAATGGGAGTTTTCCAGTGTATGCTAGTGTGTTTTGTTCTTGAAATAGTTGCATAAAATAACGTCACTTTGGACAGATCAGAGAAGAGACTGGATTCCGTCCTTTCTTAAATACGTGCATCATGTAGGAGTCAGGAGTTGCAGAGATGCTACTTAGGATAAAGACCAGCCTAATGAATCTATCCTGACCCCAGTCAGATACAAATTAGCTCTGCTAATTGGTGGGTTATTTAAATATACATAAGGCTTAGTGTAGATCATAGTTTTTATTTTGTAAATCAACTAAAAACTATTCCTGATTTTCCCAAATGTCCTTAATTCTCAACTGAACTCTATGACCAAACCTGCAACCTGCTTATGTGATTCATCCTCTAAATATTCATTTCTGCTATTCATTATCTGCTGTTGCCTGTCTGATAATATTTTATGCTTCTGACTGGATAACTAACTTAAATAGCACAAATGCAAACAGCGGATAAAAGACATTAATCTACTAGAGATACAATACTTCATGAGATTTGTTTGTTATAAATACCATATAAATAAAGCACAGATAGTGAATGTTATAGGTAATATAATTCCATGAGCAAAAAAACCTTTTCACAGATATTTTCAGAAACCCCTTTTCACAGAGATATTCACAATCTACTTTTCCATTATTTGACTCATTTGGACTCTATTTTGATATCTTTTGTTCTTTTGACAAAGTCAGAACTTCAGTGAAAAAAAGGTAAAAAAAAAATCACTCCAATGAAAAATGCAAATGAAATATACAAGTTTCTACATTTGCTGAACTGATTAGCCAGCTGATTTTTGCACATTGATTATAGAGCTCCACACCACCAAAACTACTACAGGATGTGTAATGCACAGTGTGCCTTGCATTTACAAACTATTACACTTCCAGCTGTTGAAAAGATTTCCCAAAGAACTTTTGCTACTAAGAACAGAGCTACTGACCTTGTGAGCACACCAGACGAAAAAGTGCCCTGCTATCATCTCTTAGTTAAACCTGAGTACAAACCCAGCATAATCTACAATTCCATACCTGTACTTGGATTTTAGCCAGTTAATTAACAAGTAGTTGCTAGCCATTTGAAAGCTTCTTTTTGTATGTCCATACTAAAGGCAAGGTGCATGTGTAAAGGTGTAAAGTAAATCTTAAAACACACTAAATTCTGATAAAATCTAGTCTTATCCCCTCACCTTCCTTGCCAGTACCCTCACTTATCTGAGGTCTGTGAGAAAAGGTACAGCAAACACTCACCTTTCATGTGTTGTTCATCAAAGTGCCTGGTGCTCTTTTAGGTATCATAGAAATATTCTTAACAATAGGTCAGAGCTTTAAATTTGCAAAGGGTTTGGGAGGCAGCTGTATCAGGTTGGCAATAGTTCTCTCAGCTGCATTGCTAGGGGATAGTTAAGGTTTGGGGGGACTCTTTAAATAAAATCATACACAGTAAAGCAGACCTTTGTTTTCTGGATGGGGGAATGATTGCAAAGATACAAATGTCAAAAGCCTGGAGGCTGGAAGCTTTTTTAAAATTTTTTTCACTTTTCTTTTAAAAACTTGGCACTTTGTCTTCCACTTCAGAACACATTCATTAGAAATTATACATTGGACTACACATTCAGTTAAACTATTCATTAGAAACTCTCTCAGTTGAAAGCCATTCAGTCTTCTTCCAGAGGGCCCAGGGGTAGATAAGTGATGCCATTGAATTTTGCACAAAACTTGGAATTTGACCCACCAGGTCCAGAAATAGATCATTTAGGAAATAACAGTCATGGCGGACTGACAAGTATCCACACACTTGAGCTGACAGATGGGATTTCAGATCCTGTGTTATTAAAAATAATAATCCTAGACTTTCTTGCTAGTAGGATCCTTTGCCTTTAAGTTGTGATCACCAGACCCTTGCTTTGGAGCATTATGCAGTTTCAGTGATTATTTCAGAATTCCCATCTAGGAAGCAGCTGTATTCTAGAGTATTCCTTCTCAGAATCCACCTGGTTTGACTGAAGAACGTGCCATTACCTGTTTATAGTTAGGAGGGGATGCTCATCTAGTATATCTGAATAGAGGGCCAGCTAGTTAAGATGGAAGAAATGTTTCATTTCTGCTTTGGATTTGGCTTTGTATTGCCATGTTGTGTGCTGGTCGACCAATGGGAGTCTTAGCCAACCAACCAGTCCTGTTTTATGGAATATTTATTAACCCTTAGCTTTACAGTGTCTGGGTGGTACAGTCCATGAACATGCAAGGACGTCGCGATCCATGCTACATTTCCAGTGGCTTTACAGAACCATTCCACTTAGGCAACAGAGTTGGGAAATACATACCTGTACCGGCATGTTTGAAAGTGCTTGGTATGTGTCTTGATGGATGATAGATATGTTGTAAGTCGCCTTTTTGTTGGGCTCGTCAAAGCAAGGAAATGATTTCCGTGCATCTGTTGGCTCATGATCAGTAGCTGCAATGCTCCTTAAACAAACAACACATTGGCAAGACTTCATTATATACCTTTAAAATCTTATCTACAGTTTCTATGCACAGTATTTTAGCAATTTCATAAAGTCAGCCACAAATATTTGTGTGTACTTGTCCATTCATAAAAGTAGATGACATCAGAAATGCACAAGCTGACACTGTATAGGCATGCGTAACATATATCTCAAAGTCTGTCATTGCTGTCCTCTAGGTTTCAGATAAAAAGCTAAAGCCAATTGCTTATCATCCAATATTTTTAGGAGCCAGGAAAAAAGATTTGAATGATCCCTTGTGGATGGTAAAAATTTTGCTTACCTTCCTGATGAGCTTTCCCAGTGCTTTTTGTGCCTAAAATAAACTACTGATGGTATTGTCTGAAAGGAAATTAAGGCCCTGGTGTGGGAATGTTTACTTCAGTCACTCTGTGTGTTGTTTACCCACTAGAGCACATTTTGGGGTTGGAGTCTTGAACATCTCCTGAAAAGACACCTCAGAATTGTATAAGTGCCCCTAAAATCTCATCCTGAAGGTGTGTTTCTTTTTCTGCAGTTACCACGTAAAGTTTTCTGATGGTGCTGTTATGCTCTCCTGACTCCATTAATGAAACTCCTGGAGAAAGCATGGAAAGTCCAGATAAACATCCTAGTACATAACTGATGCTATCTTAGCCATGCTGGGGGAGCTAGACAATAGGGGTCACATAAAAATATAAGGTGAAGGTTATGGACATTCATATCATGTGCTTGCTTCTCACAGTGACATCGGACTCCCCCATTAATGAACCACACAGTGGCAGAGCGTATCCTCCAGTGACTGATGGTGAAAGAGATCACAGATGTTTCTTCAATTAATCTGGAATGTTGGGCATTTTCTGACAGTACTTCTACAGCTGCTCCAACTATATTAAGGTAGTTTTTCTTTCCAAAAACTAATTAAAAGTGTACATAATAAATTACAGACCTGCAGCAATCCTACAAGCTCACTTGACAACCAATTTTTCAATGTTTCTGTTGTCCTTGGCATTTCCCTGTGATGGTTAAATACTAAACTGTTCATTAGGAACTGGTAGCAGCAAGGATCATTTACAAGCCTGATGGAGGTAATATGTCTGGGTTCTTACCATTCATGTTCATTGGAATAATAACTCAAAAGTTCATGGGCAGAAAGCATAATGAACGTTTACCTTAACATAACTTCAGGCTCAGCAGAGATTCTTTTGCTTGGTAAATTGTTTGATGTCAGTTTTCACTTTTTGCAGGACTTGAAAGTTATTTCACAATTAAGTCAACTTCAAGTCCCCAGGGCAATGCTTCACAGTTATTGCTTAAAAAATTGGCTATATATTTTGACATATTTATATCTTGTTCCTACAGACTGACAACACTGTGATATCTCTGTTGATTAATAATCAAGGTGATAATCCATCTAGCCTCATATATTTGTGGAGGCAGACAGACATCAGCAGTGCAAAACCTTAGCACTACCATTTCTATGTGGTAGATGATGAGAACTCCAGGCTATGGCATCTATAGAAGTGGCACTATAAACATGAAATGCTGCAATTTCCTTTCAAACTGTATGATGTAGTTTTTAGACAGAATATTCTTCACTGCTTGGTGGTTTCTGCCTGTCTACTTGCTGTCAATGTCCAGACCTTAGAATGCAAACTACAGGTGACGGTTGTAAATATTATAGTAATAAGAAGTGAAGATCTGGTGGAGACTGCATCCAGGTGTTGTTACCAAAATAAAAGTGTTGCATTTAGAACCATAATGAGTTTCCCCCCCTTTTTTTTTTTTCCCAAAGCACAGGGGGTTAGTGCAAAAACCCCTTTCCTTGCTTCTTCTGAAAAAATATTCTCCTTGAAGAAGAAATGCAGGAGTGCTACTTCCATACAATAAAGAATATTTTGCCTTTCCCTAATCAATAAAACCCTAAATGCAAGACTCATTGTTAAAGATGTGTCCAGCTCAGTATGTTTTATAAACCTCTTGTTCTCACAAGAGACAGAGAGAATTCCTATAAAAGGCAAGCTGTACCTTGTTACTAATAGTCATGCAAAATCAAAACCAGCTGCTGTGACACTCTTTTATTATCTGTAATATTAAGGAGAAAATAAAAGGGGGTTTTAGCACATTGTTTGAGAAGAAATAATGAGTTAAAAGATCCATTACACCAGCCAAGGACTCTATCATGCAAAGCAGGGAAAGACTGTTATTCTGCTTTCATCAAAGGGGAATTGAAATGCGCAGACAGAGAAATAGCTTTACCAAAGGACTTCGGTGCTTACAGCTGGATTCAGGCACCCACAGGAGGATCTAGGCAGGTCTACGCCTAAAATCTGCATTCTCAAAGTTTCTGCTTTCCTGCTCCTGACCCGCACGTGCACTTCAGTGAAACAATTGTGTGCCTAAGGTATCTAAAAATCTGCTTCTGGGCATGTCCAAAAGCACCTTTGTCCTGATGGGGATTGTGTGATCTGTCTGAGCAGGATTCCCAAATGAGGTGTTCTTCTCCCTAAGCCTCCCATGGATCTCAGACTTGCAGACATGTTCAGCACATGTCTACCTGTTTTCCACAGAATGTGGTGGGACATGTAAATCTAAGCAACACCAGAGCCTGGACTTGTGCCCAGTCTGTAAACAAAAGGCACTATAGCAACAGTTTGGCAAACCTTTGCCCTCACAGAGGATAGCTAGGGAGCAGCTCAATCCTAGGAGCTGACTTTCCAGTGTTATGATTTCTCTCAACAGGTCCTGCTGCTTCTGACACTGCCCAGAACGCATGGGGAGAAGGTTAATTACATGTTGGCTGTCATTTTCACCTCAGCCCCCTTCTCTCTAACATCCACTGTTAACAGACTTTCTTGACTTTTGCCATTAACTGATCCAATTTGTATTTACTTGTAACATGACAAAAAAGGAACTATTTGGGTTGAAATTGTCCAAGGGTGACGTCTGCCTCAGGCAAAATCAAAATAAAAAAGCTAGTTCTGGTCAGCATAGTTTATAAATAGAAAGCTGGGGAAAATGCAGTTATAATAAGTAATAAGACCCTTCCCTTGCCATCCTTTCTCACCTCATCCTATCACCTGCCTTCATGCCACATAGCAGCTTGGCTGGTGGTTGCTTTCATTTCAAAGCTGTACTTATCACTGTCATGTACATTGCCTTTTCCACCCCCACAAACAATCTGCCCAAACTTAACCACATGAAGAGCATTTCAGAAATCACCATTCACTCCTTCTTTTTAGAGTCCTTCACAAGCCTAACAAGCAAACTCACATGCTCAAGTTCTGTTCTGTATTGAGTGTTTTCAAACTGCTGGCTAGGATCATCCTTGCAATTATATCTTCCAGCACTCAAATCAAGAAGTAGGAACCCTCTCAAAGTGAGCTCCCATTTTATGCTTTCTTTAGCTTATGAAGTTTTCCTTTCTTCCTGACTTCAGATGCTTGGTCCTTGCCTTCACACACTGTCTGGATCTGAGGGATGGGCACTCACCTCTCCTGCTTTGTGACTCAGGAGACCTGCCTTCTGGTCCTGCTGTTCTGGTGTGTGGCAGACCTGGGGCAATTAAATTAATATCTAGGTATCGTTCACCAATAAAAAGGAAGTAGCACACCTCAATTTAGGAAGATACTAAGAAGTTACACTTTAAATCTGCTGTGGGGATGTCAGATGCTCGAAGTATAAAACGAAAGCACCAATGAGGTGGTAGATGGAGGAAAACAAGAAGGAAAGAGCTGGATGGGGATCCAACTGCTCTCTACGTGGCTTCTTCCCACATCAGATAACTATGTTTAAGTATGAAAAATCAACGCTTGCTTTTTGCTCCGAGCCTGGGATTTGCTGCTGCTGGTGCCTGTCACTGCTGCTGCTCCTGGAATTGCCTGTCAGTGGCTGAATGGAGCTGATGTGACTCTCACTTATGACACCATTGTCCTAGGAGGACAAACAAGTGCTGTTGTAACACACCAGTGTTTGTCTCTGTGTTCCCACTACAGGGCCTTGGGAAAGTCTAGCTAAGTTTATCTTCTGGCCGTAAAGGCTGGAATGAGTCACTTCAGAAACATAAATATTGGAAAATGGGTGAGCGTCCTCTCCATACATTAACCGGGAAGAAATGCCTCTGAGCAGTGGGCAATGGTTTTTTCAAGCTTCCACCTCGAAGTAGTGGAAACCTGGGGAAGTGGAATGGGTTAACTGAACTGGCAGAGGATTTCTAATCTTTCAATAACTAGTGATACACTAAAAAGGAAGAGCTGGAGCACAAAGAACCCAAGTCAAAGATAATTTCATCCTACCCGTATTTTAATCTGGCTGCAGGAGGGACAGGGAAGTTCTGATTTGGAGATTCCTCAGGCTTACAATGTCAAGGAGGAACGATGTCAGGAAAACTATCATAAGAGCATTTTACACCAAAACTGTTACCTTGGGGAGTGACAGGAGAGAGTGGTGAGAGCTGTATGCTATTTATTGTACTACAGAGACAAAAACAAGCCTTGATCCCTCCAGCTCTCTGAGGGAGCCATTCGTAAAGCTTAAAGGTAGTCTGGGACCAGTAGAGTTTGAAAAAATTTTTCAGAATAATTATAACAAACGCCTTGTCTCTCCAACCCACATTCACTTGTCAACAGCCAAAGGGCTTTGAATACAGCATCTTGCTTAGAGGAATGGGAAAATCAAAGAACAGCCCAGAAATGTTAGCAAGTTGGTGAGAGACAGGACTGAGAAGCTGAAACAGGAATAGAGCAGGCCTGAGCAAGTAGAAATAGAGAATAAAGTTTAATAACAAAAGAAAAACTGCTTTACTTGATCTCTCCGTTCTCGGTGTAGGTGGTCCTATAAAACCCAACCAGGGAACCATTCAGCCAGCCTTGAAACTTCAGGGTGAGTATATAGGGATCATTTTCATTAGTGACAGAGAGCTCTGCTTCTGCCTTCATCACTATGTACTCTTGTGACTCGTACTCGAAGCAGTCGTTCAAAGCAATCTGCTGTCCTGAGGATTTCTGGAGTGTGGGCATTTCTGTAATCTTGGTCTCTCGCAGGTGGAGCCACAGGTAGCTGGTAGATTTTTCCAAAGCAATAGAAATACTGACTGTCCCAGTGTAGTTGTCTTGCTCCATTTCAGGCTTCATTTCCAGATCATAGTGGACAGGTTTGACATAAGTTGGTAGTCTAAAATATATCCAGTCTCCAGTCTCATCATTTCTAGCAGGACAGGGACCCAAATCCACTGAGGGAGGAGTGCTTGTTGGCTGATCGGTTCCTCCTGAAGGTTGCTGAGATTTAGGTCTGCTCAATCCCACGCCAAGCCCCACGGCAAGACCTACAATGACCACAACGCCACAGATGACAGCCACATGCTTTGTCTTCATGCAGTACCTCTTGGACTTCTTATCCTCAAAATCCATGCCCTGCATCTCTGCTCCTGTGTCTGTTCTCAGAGCAAACCATTAACTGTAAAAAAGCTTATTAGTCACTTCAGCACTTGCATTCAGTAAACTCAGCAGACTTGGTTTGTATTTTAATCGTGTAGCTATAGCCGTTCTCTGCCCGTCTCCCCCACCTCACTTTCCACGAGACACTCAATTAATTAAAGACAACATGCATTTGGAGGAAATGTGAATGATCAAAAGCAGCGCAGCTGGGCTGGGAGACGGAGGGAACCGACACAGAAGAACATTGTTTCTGCTATGCTCCCCTTATAAGCAGCACAACCCCACCCCCAGCCCCTCCTGCTCTGGCCTGAGTTAAATATAAAACAGTGCTATGTTAATCAGCAGTTAGGAGATGATCAGATGCCAAAGCTCTGTCAGCAGCTTTCAGAAAAAGTTTGCAGATAGAGGTGTAACAGCTCCAAACCCTCAACCTTTGCCACTACCTCTTCCTTTTTTATCCCCTGCTGTGTCTTGTTTCGGTTTTTAAGGTTTGGGGTTTTTTTTAATTTTCCTCTAGCAAAGGTTTTCTTGAACTTCCACTTATAGTTTGTGAAATGACATCTCCAAAGTCTCAGCAAAAATCACATATGTCTTTCAAGGCCTTTTCAACTGTTTCCCCTCTTTTCTAGGCTCATTTACCTTTGCTGAGTAATTTGAGGCAGTCACAGGCAGAAGAATGCACAGTGGAACAATAAATTTTGATCACTGACTTCAAACTTTGAAACATACCCAAATCCTCTCCCGCTCTCACAGGGCCAGTTATCCAGGAGCTTGCTCATAACCATGCATGCAAGCTGGTAGTCTGGGATAGCAGTGCCTTTGTCAGTGCAGTTACAGTGCTGCCTGTGAACACTTGCTGTGAGGGACACTTCTAAATATGCAGTTACATGATTTATGTACTAAAGATCTAATTTAGCATCTACCACATGTCATCATGATGTGGTGCTTCATCAAAATCATTTAATTTAATAAAGCCTGATTCTGCTTGGGGGAACTTGTTGTAAGTAAGGCCTTGCTAAGCCTGCAAGCAAGATGTTGCTAATGCAGCATGAAACTGAGTGCAGCAGTAGTCTTGACCTTGTTTGATGCTGGTAAAGGAAAACAGTGTAGAATAGAAACTTCAGTCCCCAGATCTTTTAACCCTGTTTCTCCACTTATGGAGCCCACTTGAGTAGATTTTTAATCAGGCACATCAGTTTGGCTTCATGCCTCCTGTTTTAGTTTGTTAGGAGACAGATTAACATCACTCTTCACATCAGTTACAACTCTCATGCTCTGAGTGAGATGTAATGAATCAGCGAAGGAGCTTTCTCAGGATAGACTTCATCCAGTCTTTTTAGAAATTGATCTGCTCACAAGCTTTATAAGTCTCCCTTTGAAATATCGCCAGCCACCATGGGGAACTTTAGCCACCCAAGCCGCATCAGCACTCTTACCGCACACTACTAGTTATACAGCATCCTGTTCTAAAGGCAAGGTTTTCCAACAGGAACTGAGAAACTAAAAGGTCTTTTTTGCAGAGCATCAAGTTAACTCTTACTCAGATATTTTCAAAAGTGAAAAACCACTGCAAAAAAAAAAGAAGCAGAAAGCTAAAAATCTGTTTCACATTATGCCTGTTTTTATTGTTTCCCATTTCTCTGCTGTGATCAAAACTAGATATGACATGGGAAACCAGTGCCCTTTAATGGATTGGGTAAGAATTTAACTTCTAACAACAGACCCAGCATTGACAATCATGGTCTTAACATTTAAAACTATTTCAGCTTTTCTTTTGTTCTGTTTGGACAGGACAAGGACAAAGAGAGAGAACAGATTTTAAATAAGACATCTTAAGCCAGAGCAGGCCGCAAGTGATGAGATACTAAATGTGTCTTGATTCCAGGCACGCTTTTTACATCACTCCCATTTTCATTCCCCTTAGCTGTGAGTTTTTTTATTAGATTTTTAATCTGAAGTTGAAAAATGCTCTTTGAGCTTATAGACTGCAGAGCAGGTTATTTACTGTAATTATGAAGACATTTGCAGATTTCTTCACTGGAAACAATTGCCTCCTTCAGAAAGTGCTAGAAAACATATTTGGACGAGCTGGTCCTAAACAGAAAAAATGTACATATTTCTTACCCTAAGCCTTAAAAATGACACTAGCAGTAAAAGCCATTACAAGCTAATGAGGAGTGACAAATGTATTAGCTCAACAAGCAGCAGAGATCATTGGTGTCTTCTGCCAGTCAAGAGCAGTAGCGCAGATATATGTAAGCTCTAGCACTGATCTTCTCTTTATAAAAACTTAGTTTCAAGCCTCACTGCAGTCAAAAACAGGTATAATACATTTCTGATAGTGGTAGTTATGAGCGGGCTTACCCGTCCCATACCAGAAATATGCTCTGTTCCTAGCTGACACCACTGTCATCAGCTAGCAGCACTAAGAAGCTGCCTAGCTGCCAAGACAGCTAGGGACCAATGACCCAGTATACATGTTCAAGGATGAGACAGGGATCAAACTATTAATTCTTTTACACAAGAGCAATAAAAGAAGGCAGGGCTCCCAAAGGCAATGCCAGCACTCTCCCTACTTGGCTGTCTCCAGGTGGAAAGGGCCAGGGAACAGGATCTGCCTCTCCAGAGAGGTGACCGCCATGGCCTTCATCAGCAATGTATAGATACTTTGTCTACCGTTTCCCCATGGGCATAAGATGATGAATCCCCGTTTGGAAAGTGGAAGAAAACTCACCCCAAGCTGCTCCTGCATAAACCACAAGCATGACAGCAGACAAGTGCTGGCCAAGCCTGGAGTGGTTTAAATTGCTTTAGTTTAATTTCTAGAGAACTGAAAATTGATTAAAACAATCTTATCTGTTACCTAGACAATGCCAACACCTGCTGTCATTTGTTTGGTGTTGAATTTTAATCGAAACAATTTCACCTTAAGTTAGGATTCAGTTCTCAGTCTGCATCAGAAATACCACACTAGCTTAACCCTGCCCTTTGGCTACATAAAATGGAGGGGAGTATGAATTCACTCTGCTCTGTCATGACATTGCTGGTAGGGGTATGTACGTGCCTGTAGAAGCAATATCCAGATATCTTTACAGACAACTACCAGGAATAGAAATGAATACTAATTTTTATCCTCAAATTGTCAGTCATTCATTTCAAATATAATTTCCAATTTAAGGTTTGGAAAATGGGAAAAAATTTCCCCAAGTGACAGCTAGGATCAGCACTAGCACAGGCCTGCTGTAGGCATTCAGGGAGAAGTCTCATAGTCCCAGGAAATCCTTAACTGCAGCTGACAATGGGAAAAGTGCTACTCTGGAAAGCATCAAAGACATGGAAATAAATTAAGTATATTAAAAAAAAATGAAACAAAAACTCCACTGCAATGCATAACAAATGAAAATCCTCCGAGCCAAGTCCATCCTTGGAATAACATGAAACACTTACTGGGCCTATGCCAAAGAAGTCTTTGGCTCCCTGTGTCCAGGGACATTGAGACAACATGAGGGCAGCAGACTCCATGGACCTCTGATTTCCTTCTGTTCTCTGAGCTGCCCCTTCTATGAGATTTAAGGATACCATAATAAATGGAACCTCTCTGCCTTCATCAGGAGGAATTTGGCTCTCTTTATGCTAAACTAACACCCCTTGTTAGATTTGTCATTGCAAAAAAAGAAGGCATGAAGCAATCTGCTGTAGTGACTGCTTTCTGGGAGAGCTGCAATTGTAGACTTCTCCCGTGGGGCCCTCTACCAGAAAAAAGTTTTGGACATTAATCTGAGAAATGTGAAACTGGTTGTGGTGTTCCATCAGGTCATAAACGAGCTGCGTCAGAAATAATTCCCTTCTCCAATGCTTTCCTATGTCTGTAATGGCTGATTTTGTCTCCATCTTTGGCTTTGAACACCCTCTAGCAATCATTAATCCTCTAGAGTTCACAGGTCTTAGTAATTGCTGGCTTGCAGTGGTCCTTGATCCACTCACAATCTTTTCTGTGACAGTTTTTAAGTAGAAAACAAGTTCTTTTGAGTTTGTGTTGTTTGGAAATGCAAATGATTTGAGCTGATTTGACAAAGACAGTCAGGATTTCTCCAGTCATAATTGTTTCCCCATTTAGATCTTCGAAATCTGGCCTCAGCTGTGGGTTACTGTTGGCTGCTGTGCCTTGGGAGGACTGCGTTATTTCCTGCTGCAGACTAATGAGCTCCGTATATAACACGCCAGTTGACGCACAATGCAGTCCCACCACCTATTCTGAGTTCTGCTGTGTTTCCCCAGCAGGTCAGTGCTTCATGTTTTATTTATCACTACGGTAAGGTCTGCAGGGAGTTACATCAAAGCCTCTTCACAAGGATGTACTGCGAGTTACCTTTACAGAATCACAGAATCACAGAATGGTAGGGGTTGGAAGGGACCTCTGTGGGTCATCTAGTCCAACTCCCCTGCCGAAGCAGAGTCACCTACAGCAGGCTGCA